GGGAAAGAGGGCATGACCTCTGCCTGTCTGAAGAGATTAATTTATCTTCAGAGTCTTCAAGTTCACAGGGCTGGAAGAATTTCACACAGGAAAAAGCTCTCCACAACATACTTTTATTGAAAAATTTTGCACAGTTTAATATATTTGCATATTTTGTATAGTTTTGCATTTTTAACTTGTCAAGCCTTACAATGGTGGCAGCACTTATTCCACCAGTGCCTTAAGAACGAAGGTTGTACCTTCACCGTGGTCACGCTGACTGGGATATGTTACAAACAAACTTGACGTCCCATGACACAACAAAGCTCAGGTACCGGTAGCAAACTAAAGAACAAAGCAAGCTACCAGTCAATTATTTGGGGGTTTTTTTCAGGTAAACAATGCTTTCTGCATTGAGTTCCCTGATGCACGGCTAATTCCAAACAACTCTCCAACACTCAAATTTGCTTACTTAAAGAGATCCCAGATCCATCTACATTACAGTTACAGCAATTATTGTTTTACTTGGACAAGTTTGAAAACTGTTCCTTGCTTTTACAGTGAAACCACAGTCACAAAGCAAATTAGATATGTGAACCACAGTATTCTGACTTCACTACTATAATTCATTGAAAAGAGAAGGATGAGTTATGTACAAGCGTATTTTGGTTAAAGACATCACCTCTTCCCCCTGCTTATCTTCGGTAAGAAATGAGCACCTCTGCAGGTGCTGAAATACCTTAAAACACGCACCTCAGGGTTGAGTCTGTGATCCTCTCTATTATTTGCTTTCCTTTGCTAACTACAGAGAGAAAGTCTCATGACTAGCTTACACACAGAAAGCGAGTAATGTTTAAATGTATAAAATCCAACCGCAAATGCCTCAAGTAGATTCTAACTGATTTAAATGGAGCACCAGCTCTTATGTGTTAGCAGAAACCAAGAGAAAATGAGTGTTAGGAATGGGACTATCTTCTCTCAATGCTGTTTACCTTGAGAGACATTTATAGAACTCAGCATTCTGTATCTCACTGTAAAGAAAAGTTAGGATAAAGTTTTGTTTTTACACTAGGTGCAATAAGGTCCAGATACGTCTTCATTTACCTTCACGGGATATTTCAAAATTATTTTGTCACATGTTGATTAACAAAGGAATTTTGGTATATATTTCTAAAAAGAACATAACCCTTTCCTATAACTTGCCATGTAGGAAAGTAAATGTAACTGAATTTTGTAAATTAATTCCTTGAAACAGATAATGCCTGATCACGAAGATGGAATTCCAGAAATCTACCAATGAAAGCTTACAATTACAATGTGGACTTCTAAATCATTAATAAAAGAGAAAACTAAAACATTGGCAAAGGAAAACTGATATTTTTTATAATTTTTTTCTATCGTCTATCTTGGCATGAAAAATTAGATAACCTGGATTCTGAAATAAATACTTTAATTATTATAGAACTCTAATGTCACAACCCATGAGGGGAAAAAATATAATTACTGCTAAAAGACTTAACTGCAAACACTAAAATGAAAAGGTTAACTACTATGATGTGGCAATGTCCTGGTCACAGTTACTGATGGGCTATGATTCACATCCATGGAAAAGCTAGCTCATTTCCTTTGGCATAGTGGGTACGTGAAAGATGTAACCATGGTGTAATGTATTTTTAGGGGAAGTTAATGAGTTTAGAAACAAATTTCTTCATTATTACTACATAAAAACCTCTCAAGTTCATAATTTTGAAATAAACTGGTTTAACACTTTATAAAAATGATGACTGCCTATCAGGGATGTATAGGCCCTATATCACAACAGTAATTCAGCAAGAGCTGCAGGATTTAAACCAACTTTAGAGGTTCATGCAGCCTTTGTATATTTAGCCCTTGAGGAGTTAGGAAAAGTTATCTGAATTCTAGGGCAAGGAAAATGCAAATTCAGTTTCCTCAAGTCTTTAGGTCTTGAATTTGAACAAGAGAATAAGTCTGTATTTTAAATTAAATACCTGATTTGCTAAATTTGGATATTTCACTCTATTGCTTCTTTCCCTTTGGATCTTACCTCTAGTAGGAAGCATTCACAAATCTGGTCTTATTCCAAGGCAACTGATAACTTACTTTTTGTGTAGGAATTCTCCAGCTGCTACTGCAACAGGCCGGTGTGCTGAATACACCAAGTGATAAACATTCTCACAGTCTTCATTGGACAGAGCTTCTTCACTTCCACTGAAAGAGTCAGAAAGCAACACCTGAACTAAAACAAATGTTTCATTTCAATCCCCTCACCTTCCATAACTTACTTTTGACAGCTACAAGACTAATTTCCTTCATACAAAATCCTAAATGGTTGAAGACTGACTTCCAGGATCTTTGGTTCAATTTCCAAATACAGAGATAATTAAAGGGCCTGTAAGACTGAAAGTTTGTCTGATTTCCTCCTCCCAGTTGTATCTATATATATCTATATATATAAAATATGAGAAAAAAGTCATCACTAGTTACAAATCTTGCCCTGCTTAATACTAACTTGCCCACACTAACTACAATACACACGTTGCAAGATGCCAAACACTCATTATCAAACATTATTAAATTAAAAACCTAGAACGTTACATGAGGAAAATGTAATTGCTTGCTTAAACTGATTTACTTCTATAGCAATGTCTGTTTGCTTTCAAAGCTTTTAATTTTTAAAGCATTCAAATCTGCGACTGGGAAAGCCTGCTTTTAAGTCAGGAGTTAAGTCTTTTCACATGAAAACCCATGCTGCAGGGCAGGAGGTGCCTCCCTGCTGGCCTGGTAAGTAGGAAGGAATATTCCCAATTCCAGCTGCTGAAAGGTGGATAAAACTGCCTCAGCAATGGGAGAAG